AGTGTGACCCCTTTATTCTTCAACACAACATGAACTCTCTTGTCCAAGCTTTCTTGTGATTTTTTTTTTATATAAAAGAAATCTCCAGGCTTTTGAAGGACATTCAAAGCTCTTCTTTGGATGCTGGCTGCCTTTTGTTCTGTCCTCTGTCAAGATGATCCCACACTGATTAAATAACGTTGAAGTCCAGGCACTGGGGAGGCCAATCCATGACTGATAGTGTTCCACTGTGTGTTTTTCTATCCAGCTGTGCTTTTACTGCACTGGCAGTGTGTTTGGGATCATTGTCATCCTGAAAAATGAAGACGTTGCCAATCTTATACTTTCCACATGGTATTTCATGCTGGATCAAAATCTGATAGTATTTTCCAGCATTAGTAATTCCTTCAAAGGATCCCCATTACCACTGGGTAAAATGCAGCCCCAAACCATAACAGAGCCTCCACCGTGTTTTCAGATGAATGTAGACACTCACTGTTGTACTCTCTGCTGACCTTCTCAATATTGACAAGCGTTTGGTTATGTATGCAGGCATTTGAAATCTGGATTCTTCGCCCCATAAGACCTGTTGCCAATTGTTTTTAGTCCAGTTAGTGTGTAATTTGCAATACCTCAGCCTTTTATTCCTTATCTTATTTCTTGACAACCAACTTTCAGCTGAGATCGTTCCTGCTGAGGCTTCAGTAAACTGCAGATGGATGAACTAAAGTGCCAGATGCATCTCTCAGGTCCTGTGTCAGGACTTTTTTTCTCCTGTTCCTTCCTTTTCCTGACTTGCATACACTTTTCATCTTCTATAGAGAGCTTTTTGGGTCTGCTATCCCTTATTTTACTCTCCACTTGTCCACTTTCCTCCTTTAAGGCCACACTGCACACCACGCCAAGTTTTTTGGATAATAACTCTTGGAGAATCACTTGGTTGGTGAAGAAACTCTGTTTTATGCATGTCAGTCTCCATTATTTTTTTCCAGAGACTCATCTAAGGAAATGGGAAGAAATAAATTTTTTTTGTGACAGGCTGCTAGTAGCTAAACGACGAAAGATGCCATTTAAAATTTAAATTCTCAGGTAGGTGTAGATACTGCTTGATCGCTTGAGTTAGGTGTCTTTTGTATGCCTGAATGAATCATAGGTTAGTGTTAAGTGGTTCAATAAACAAAGGGGAAAAAACTGTTCATCTGAAAAAAGGTGAAGTACAAGGGCTGGATAAAAAAAAAGGAGTGAAAAAGCAGCCCATGTCCAAAGAAAAAGTTTGAAAGTCCTTTGGAAAGATTAACGAACTATTTCTCAAGCCCACTATTACTTTTTACCAAAAGAAACTGCTGTAGATTTCAGTAAGGGCTCTGTATAATAACAGTGCAATGCTGGCAACGCTAGCTGACAGTATTTGATTGTATTTTAACGAGAAAATTTGCAACAGTTTAAGCTTGTCTTGGGATTACAAAAAGGAGCTCTCTGTTATGGCATTAGATATCAATATTTTAATTGCACTCACTTCAGATGTTCATAATGACAGTACAGTGGGGAGAATGAAATGCTTTGTTATGCTTTCTAATCTTGTTAGTACTACACAAACGTGGACAAACCTCTAATTTACTCTACTAACTACAGGTAATAACAGACTGTACAGTGTTCATTCTTCGACAGAAAGACACATCCACAATGTGAGCACAGATGTTGTGGATACAAATGAGCATAGCAACTGTTATAATGTACACCACGTATTCTTTTGCCTTTAAAATGTTCTAAAAGTAAGAATGCCCGTTTACTCATCAGATTTATATCATTCATTTTCCTGCTTTTATCCACGCCTTGTGTTATGAATTGAATTGGTCTTTTTCATTTTAGAAAGGCACAGATTACATCATCTTTACATATCTAAGAAAAGCGTGTCATTCAAAGCATGACAGTCATGCAAACTGGCACATGTCAGGATTTGTTTTTGAAAAACAGAAACTCTTGGCCTTTTTTTGTCACTTAGCAGCGTGTTTGCTTTGACAGAAACAGTTTGCAGTATACACTCTGCCAATATGCTCCCCCTCCCTAACTGTCTCAACAAAGTTCTCTGTGTGCTCTCTATCTCTAAAAGCAAGCAAACAGAAACATAGTGGGGTCTTTGCTTCTTTCTAATAACTATATATAATAAAATGTATTTATTTTTCGTTTGTTTTGGATGGCAGCGTTGATTTTAAATGTCCGACAGCTTTCCGAAAAATGTAGGCCAAACTAAAAAGACAGTAACACTTTGCAGAAACTTTTAACTGCTGCTATTAAACACCTTCCACACCTTTAAAGAAGGACAACTGTTGCTTTGAAAATATGCTGAAAGCGATCTCTATGGCATTCTGCGGGGCAAAACCACAAATTACGGTGGCAGAGTGAATGGCATTATGAGACTTCAGTGTGTGGTCCTTCACTAGTCTCCCCTCCTGCTGTTCTCTCCTGGCCTTCTCCCCTCCTGCTGCCCCCTCTGCTGGGGTTAGCAGGCATAGTTGACCCTGGTTAAAATTCAACTGTCCCGGTAATAATATGGTTAGTTTTTCCCTTATTGGCTTGGTCATGGAACAAAAGGAAGTGGAAACTGCAAAATTAAAAAGAAAGGAAAAGAAAAGAAAAGAAAAGAAAAGAAAAGAAAAGAAAAGAAAAGAAAAGAAAAGAAAAGAAAAGAAAAGAAAAGAAAAGAAAAGAAAAAGAAACTCAAATGAATCTGAATCAAAAAATTATGATAGACTATAGAAAATGATGCATGCTGCGGCAAGCTTTGGGTATAAACGCACATGTTTAAAATAATTAAAAAGGAAAAGTGAAGCAAAATTGCTCAGGCCTTAAATATAATTATGTGTGTCCTGGGTTTATACTGTGAGTACTCTGGATGCATTTACAGTTTTTAAATCCAGCAGTGAATCATTTACTTACATTGGGAGATAGTGGTTTTATCGTTAATCCTAAATTGCTCCTCTTCTTTCTTACATCTTTACCTTGGTTTTTGTCCTCTTCAATTACAGTGTGTGGCATCCACTGGAAGCAATAGCAATAATAATAGTAATAATAGTAATAATAATGATAATTGGTATACAGACTGTTGGCAGTCGCTTTTAACCAAGTTCCATGTCTGAGCCTCCAGCAATCCACCCCCAGCATGAGTCAACTTTGGTGTGTGTGATTAATTTATCAGTATACCCCCCTTAAGGATAAACTAGTCACCATAATTAACTGCTGAATAAAGTGAAGCTCGTGGCTGCCACCATATTTTCAACAGAAAATTGTTTCCTGAGGTCATATCTAAACTGGGACGGTGGGTTGGCTTCAGATAGTCTTCATCAGACTTCTTTTTGCAGTCAGAAGAGCTGCCCACTGCTGGCCATCAGAGGTAACACAGGTCTAAAGCACTTTTGCATTGGCTTTGTTTTTCAGATGTGGAACCGAAGTCTATTAAAAATAGATACAGCCAGTGATTTTCAAAATATTTTTTTCTTTACTGATAATTAATTTACCACTGGAATGCACTACGAGTCAAAATTACTTGTTTTAATCAGTGCTTACAGTATAGACTGTATATAGAAGCTAGATGTAGGCACTGTGATGTCTGTTTTGAAGTTTCCAGTTGAGCATCTTGTCCAGCGCTGACATGGATTTTAAAAACTTTCCCAAGATTCACAAGTAAAAAGGTGGATCAGATTTTCTTGTTTAATCTTAACTTAAAAGATGGAAACTTCAAAATGAATTATATATAACTTGCTCATAGAAGTAGGAAAGTCCAGTGGTCAGGTCTCTGCAGGAAAAATTAGCTGTATTACTGGTGGCCATCGCAACAGATTCTGCCAAAGAGAAGCTGAAATGAGCTCATAAGACAGGGCTCTGACTTTTTTCCTTTCATATCTTATCAGTCAAGAAGAATATTATAAAGCTGAATGATTAACCACAAGTAACTTGTGGACTCAGAAACATGAAGTGTTTCAGGTTTTGATTAGTGCGGTTGGAAAGGAGGTGAACCTCGAGCAACTAATAAGCTACTCCTGGGAACTTTAGCAGTTAGTGGGTCTTCAGCAGGGATAGGAATTTAAAAAAAATTATGCCACTTGGGAACCGCTTTCAAGTTTTTCAAAGCATTGGAACTGTGTCTGAACTTATCAATTCTTTTATCAATCCCTGTAGCTGCTGGCAATGCACATTAATTTCAGATCAGCAATGTCATACATGCGTGTCTAGTGTTGCCATAAAAAAGAGTCATTGCAGGGAAGACGAATGATTACAAAGCATTGCTTCATAAAGACAGATGATAGCCGTGTTAGTTGTAATGTCTGTAACATAATTATTTCAAGCGGGGTGGAAACACCAGCAACATACGCAACATGGGATTCACTTCAAGGAGTGTCATGTATTTGATGTGCACCACAAGTGCTATCGCTACAGTTTCCCAACCGAGCAGCTCATCAATGCAGATGTGTAACAAAAATTTTATTTAACTAAGAAAGCCTGAAAGAAAATGAATGCCATACTAGTCTGCCTTTATTTACTCGATTTTAGATGTTAACTGAGAGATTGATGTTACATCGAGAAATAGGCAGTAGTCTGTTTGGGATTTAAAATAAATTTTAAAAAAATCAGTTTTGATGACACTGAAAATCTGTTTATGTATAAAGGTGGATTAAGGATCAATAAGGGCTGGGCTGGTGAGCAGATGCAATGATTGCACTGGTATAAAAAAAACTTTATAAATTCCTATTCCTAGTTTTCAGGGAAATTTAAGATTCAATTTCAATAGTAAATTAAAGTCAACAGGTCATAGACACAGCATGCTTATCGTGCATTTGTACTTGCCAGTACAAGGTAAAGCTATTTTTACTCTAAATAGTGCCATAACTTAAAAAAAAAAAAAAAAAAAA